TACTACAGTATTTTACTCAAGTTTAAGTCTTTTCAAAATAAGCCCTTGTTTGTCTTTTTATCATTAACCAAAGTCAACAGTTAGGAGGCAAGAGTTCATAGTTTTGACTTTGTTCCTGCRTTTCTAAAGCGCGTGACACTAAATGGGGACTACAGCTGTAGTGGCTGTCTCTGACTGCAGTGGATGGGTGGTTTGGAGAGACTAGGGTGCTCTCGGGAGGAAAGAGGGAACTTGGAGCCTGTGGGTAAAAGGATGTTTTTTAATATATAAGAAGTTGTCAGAAGGAAGAGGGTGATGAATGTTTTSTGTTTCAGCTCAGCAGGATTTAAACCACAGCAAGGAAGATTTTGAGCCAGTTCTAGGAAAAAGCGTCTAAGCGTAAGGCTGATGATGCTCTGGTACAGGTTAAGTGGAAAAAAGGAGATTTCAAGAGCAACTCARGCAGCCTTTTTGAAACATGTCCTGGCTGTACTGGATCCTGCGTGAGTTTTGGGGAGGGAGCAGATGAGCTGCTGAATTCCTCTGCAGCCTGTATGTGATGTGTCCTGGCAGCAAGAGGAATCCTCAGCCTCATCATCTCCCTGCGATCGCATGTTGGTTTCCACCCCATGTCGTTACCAGCCTTGTGTCAGTCTTGGTTGGCCTCTTGTGGGTAACAGTTTATCTGGAATCGTGATGCCCGTTTGCAAAGGAAGGCCTGGAAGGGGGCGAGCATCCTGGACAGGAGGCTGCTGGACGCACTAATGTGCGTGAGCTCCTTGCTAGGTTTTATATTTCATTGCTATAACTTATTCTTTTATATACCCTAAGCAAGGCATCGATGAGCAATTCCTTAGCCTAAAGTCGCATCATCCCTCTGTGCAGTGGCTCCGCATTCATCCCAGGCACCGATACCTGAGCTCGCACAGCCCTTCTCCGTGCCACCATTTCCTTGTGCATCCTGCGCCCCCTTCCCTGCCATTTAATGTCGTGGCATTTTGCAGGGCACTGAGTTTATCTCTCCAGGAGAAAGAAGGCAAAGAGCTTGTGCGGGCTGTTTTTCCTGCCAGGGTCCGGTAGCTCGTTTGGGGGATTTTATCGGCAGTGCCGCTAGAGGGAAGCCTGGCCCTTCGCATGGAAAGACAGGGCTGCTCCGGTGCYGTACGCAACCGCACGGCCAGCACCATGGGGACCATCCTGTCGGACCCCTATCTCCCAGTGCAGTTCAGCTCTGTGCACAGCTCCCTTTTTCCACCTTTTTGATAACAGGACAGACTGAATTACAAGGTACATATTTGTTAATTGCTCCAGGGATAGTCATAAAATGCTTAGAGCTGCCTGGACAGAGAGGTCAGTGCTATTGAAGAGCTTTGGAGGAAGCTGTGATTTCAGTCCAGTGTTTGGAGTTAGCTTTCCGAGGGTGAGGAAGATGCTGCCTTGTAAGAATTCCTTGGTATTTTGGCAGCTCTTTTGTRTGTATTTGGTTAAGGTACTCCAAAATTCACAGCTTTACCATATGCCACCTTCCAAAATACTTGGTAGTTTTCGGTAATTCTTGAGGCATGTCCTGCCTTTGAAGAGGCTTGTGTGAATACAGGGCAATTCAGCTGAAACCACTGGTCCGTTGCCTTTTTGGCTACTCCGGGTTTTCCTCTATTAAAGCCAAGCTGTCCCGCTGCTCCTTCTGGATAACTTCCCCACATCTGAGGGGAGCCCGCGGAGCACTGGCAGCGGCAAAGCGAGTTGCCAGGGGAGAAGCGGGTGCTGGAAGCAAACCCCGAGGTAACGGATCTGCTGGCTTCCATTTTAAGAGTGACCTTTAATTCACCGGACTCCACAAAATACCTGCAGCGGAGCCCCGCGGTGCCGCCGGGAGGCTTCCCGGGATATCCGCTTCCCGGGCAGCGCCGGCCCCGCGCCGCGAGGCACCCAGCGCCGCCGCCGAGCCGCTCGCCCGGCCGGGACGGCGCGGGGCCGAGCCTGGCACCGAGTCAGCGCGTCCCGCCAGAGCGGCCTCCCGCATCCCGGCACCCGGAGGAGACCGCACGGATTAACGGCGCCGAGCAGGAAAGGGCTTCGGCGCTGATGCACCCCGGCTGCCAGAGGAGGCGAAACCTTCCTTTTCCCGTCGAGGAGCCGTGGAGCTAGGCTTTCTCCATGACATTGATCCTGCAGAACAAGTGCAAGAAAACGTCTTTGGTTACAGAAACCACCTTCAGCTCAAGGTTCAAGGAGCTATTTTTGGCTGCCCAGCTCCTTCACTGAACTTCTCTCTCGTAGGTGTGCCACTGCTGGTGTCAAGATTGTTTTTTATTTCTTCATAGTTTATTTTTTATGTGCATTTATATGAAATAGGAACATGGAAGACAGTCCTCTGCCCGTGTTGACTGTACCCACGGCTCCTTACAACGACCAGAAACCAGGAACAAGTGGATTACGGAAGAAGACCTTTTATTTTGAGTCCAAGATAAACTACATGCAAAATTTTATCCAGAGTATATTTTTTTCCATAGACCTAAGAGATCGCCAGGGATCTTCTATGGTAGTTGGAGGCGATGGGAGATACCTTAATAAGTCTGCAGTGGAACTGATAGTCCAAATGGCTGCTGCCAATGGGGTTGGTAAATGTTAATTGACTAAATTCCTGGGCTGTAGAGCTGGTAAATGCAGAAAGCCATGATAAATTATAGCCACTATGAGGTGTAATTTCCCCACTCTCTTTAATCAGCTGCTAATCATGACCTTTTCAATGAAAAATCAGAGCAGTAATGCTTAAATTGAGGTTTATTCACTTTTAAGTGATGCAGATGGAGAGAAGGGAGATACACATGGTGCAAAGAAAAATACTGCTTGCTTTTTGTGCAATCTCAGTTTGTATTTGTACTTCCAGACTTCATGTTATCTCCAGAAGATTATGAAACCCAGATATTTCTAATAAATAAAGGTACTGGTGGAGCTGARCCCCCCCTTCTCGGCAGCAGAAGCAGCTCCATCAGTGACCCGAGCTGCTCAGCAAATGACAGGCAGAACATGGGACTTGTTTCTCCCAGGAGTAAGTTGTGGCTGTGTGATAAATATTCCCAGAGCTTTTGAAAACTGAAGTCGGGTGATAGTTAAAAAGTGAGTGAAAGTCTTTAAAGTGATCTCTGGTGGCCTGGAAATCTGTGTTTTGATGTGGAGAGAAATAGGAACTTTAAAATAGCGTATTTTGGGGGGTGAGACAAGGCCGGCAGCCCTGTGATGCCGGCGCGCGGCTGAGCGGGAGCGCTGGGCGATGCGGATGGGAAAGGCATCCCGCTGCGCAGGCCGCGTGGCGCGTGGCTCCTCCGCTGCCGGCGGGGAGCTGAAGCGGAGCTTCACCAGCTCTTGCATTTCTACTCGGTAGTGTGGCCTGTATCTACCCATAGTGGAGTTTTGCTGTTGGATTTTGGTACTTTTTGCTCATAGTTCCAGCGTGCTCTGACAGGCCTGTGGGCTTGTGCAGGAGCAGCGCGCTGGTCCCGCTCGCTGGTGGCTTCCCRAGGCCCTGCGGATGCTCCGACTGTAGCACCCTGAGAAGCCGTGCGCGTGGGTCCCGTCCTCGGTGGGTGGCAGCAGGAGTTTCTTTGTGRATGCAGGATCCACAGGGCTCAAGGAGGCCGAGCAGCCGCGCTGCGCCAGGCCGGCATGTCCCTGGAATGGCTCCTTCGGCCAAAGGGAAGAGTTTGGTGATTGCCGGGTAAAAACCTGCCTTGTACAACTAGCAACGTCTCTGTTTAGAGATAACAGTGCCAGGGCCTGCGGGGCTGGGCCAGATGTCCCACATTTCCTTCAGGGACGTGGCTTAGGGGTGATGTCTCCAATGGGAAGGAGCAGCCGGCAGCAACTTGACGGGTTGGGAGCCACGTTCGTGGTGCAGATCAGATGGTGCTGAAAGCCCCGGCCGGCTGCTGGGAAGAGGGCGGCTGCGCAGGGTCCCTTTGCCCGCTCTTGAACAGCTCCCGGGGCTCCTGGCAAAAGCAGCGTAGAAATTGGAAGTGCTGCCAGGACTGCTTTGAAGCAGTGTCACCCAAAGCGTAAACTGGGAGAAAACGGGTGTTTTGTGAAAAGTATTTCTGTGTTGTTGCATCTTGGAGTTTTCTCTTAAGAAACTCCAGGGAAAAAAAAAGAAAAACATTAAGTGTAATCTGCTCAGCACTCAGCACCGCTGCCTTGAGCAAGCTTCCTCAGTGCTTGCCGTGAGGGATCTGTCTGCAGAATTGGTGGGAATCGCAGTCATCCAGGGCCTTGGCTTTGCTGCCAGTGAGAACCTTTCCTGCAGCAACACCAGCTTTTGTTCTCAGGTTTATCTTTCGAAGGAAACTCCTCTCTCCTTGCTGTTGCAAGCGAGCTCAGTCTCCTGAGTTGATGGAGAGTAGTTAGCTATTTTTTAAAGATCTATGTTGGCTCAGTTGAGGCTCTGTTAAAAAGTATCTTTTCCTCCAGAAAAATAGCGTATCTTCTATCCGTATATTCACGGAAATTCTCCGTGAATATAGTTTCCATGGCCAGATGCCAATTTCCTTGTGTTGCTTAGCACCGTGCCTTGCACTTACCCTTAGTGATGCTAATGTTTGTAGGATGGAGGAGCACTGCCTGCTGTGAGTACGAGACTCTGCGCTCGTCGCGGTGGTGCCGCTGGGTTGGTCCTAACCCCAGCGTGTCCCATGAAAGCTCCGTTCGAGGCCGAACCCAAAGAGCAGCTTGTTTGGCTGCCTCTGGAAAGCTCTACTCTTCAGTGCAGGCTCTCTGCTCTGGTGGAACTTGTAAAGGAAACCGCTCAAAAGGCAGAACAGAGCCTGGCTTGGGTGGGGAGCCTGGCTTGGATGGGGAGCCTCGCAGCACGCACGAGGGGGTCAGCAGCCTTGGAGCAAGGAGCTGTCCCAGCGCAGAGCAGAGCTCGCAACCTCCGGAGGAGAGTCCAGGGAGCCCCTTGCCTGTCACGCTCTCCGTCGTTGGCCTTTGGGGCTCACGGTTGGCTTTTGTTTTGCTCCTGTTTCCAGATYGGCCGCCTGGTCATCGGGCAGAACGGCATTCTCTCCACCCCAGCTGTGTCCTGCATCATTAGGAAAATCAAAGCCATCGGCGGCATCATCCTGACAGCCAGTCACAACCCTGGGGGGCCCAACGGGGACTTCGGGATTAAATTCAACATTGCCAATGGAGGTAAGGTTGCTCCGTTGGTTTGGGTTTGCTTTGTTCCTGTTTGACCATTTTTTGCAGTGAGAGAAATGAACCTGATTTTAAATGTCTTAATGTCATTGGAGATCAGTACCTTGCACAAAGCAAGGGATTTGCTCCTGCTGCCCCGTGATCCATTCCTGGAGATGCATTCCCAGCCCCAGGGCTTTTGCTGTAACCGTAAAACACTCTTCTCTTGTGGCTGCTTCTTTAGCTCCTTTCCCCCATCTTAACTTGCAGGTCCTGCTCCTGAGGGTATCACAGACAAAATTTTCCAAATCAGCAAGAAAATTGAAGAGTATGCGATCTGCCCCGATCTCCAGGTGGACCTGGGCACCATTGGAAAACAGCAGTTTGACCTGGAGAACAAATTTAAACCCTTTACAGGTATGTGACTGTGTTCAGAGGGGATTCGGGCTTTAGGAACTGGCCTCCTGCTGACTCTCAGCGTGTGGGGAATTGGGCCTAGGATGTGGTTTTTGTTTGCTTTCAGTTCCCATTAGGTATCTCAAATACGCCTCCATTTGAGGCAGAGGGAGTTAGATACAAATAAAATGCTGTCTTTACCAAACTTGMTCTCAGTATTGAGGTGACCTATGAAACTGGGTTTAGTGTCTCCCAACCACTTAGGCTGCTTTGTATCTTCTCCCCCTTCCTGATTTAAGATACCTAATCTTGACTGAAGTTTACGCACCAGGATGAATTCACTGTCTCTAGTAATTGCTTTCCCTTAAGCAAAAGCTCATAATTGTGTGTTATTTCCAGCTTGAACTTGTGCTGACTTTGGTTTACCAATTTACCACATCTTATGCCACAGCTGCCAAATGAAAGGGTTTTTTTTAATTTATTTATTTTGTTATTTATCTAACTTGATAAAGAACAAAAGTTATATTGTTTCTGTCCTATAAATGATTGCAGGTGGGTAGGTAGCTCTGGTCCATTGAACTTTAAAAATAACGTGACTACTTTGTCAGCAATGTTATCATTGACATGCAGATGCAAAACAAGTTTGCAGGTAAAGTACGTTTTCCTGATGAAAAATTAGCATTGTGTTCAGTCTTTGTCACTGACTCTTCCGTCTATGTCCATAGTTTCCCAAGTGAGAACTCTCCTTGTGAGTAGGAAAARCCGTGATATTTTTACACAGGACTTTTCTCAAATATGAAGTATGAAAATAAAGAAAAGACTTTTTTTCAAAGTTTGTGCAGATATTTTAGTTCTGCCTCCTGGTGACTTTTTCTCCCCTCCAACCCCCCCACCCCCTTTTTTTTGTTGTGTTTTTTTTGTTTTTGTTTAATCCCACTTTCCATGTAACTGGGATGGAGCTGAGCCCTGTCAATGAAACCCAGGGAGCTGTCACCATGAACAGAGTGCTTTTGTGAAAGCAGAGTTCTGGAGACAATGTTTTGTCTTAAGGAATTTGGTTGGTCTCTTTAGCAGTGTAACCCAATTAGCAATGGCAGCCTGTAATTAAAGGTTTCTAAATATCATAGAATCTTTAAGGTTGGAGGGAGCTTTAGAGATCGTCTAGTCCAACTCCCCTGCACACGCAGGGTCAATATAGGACAGTTATTTTTTTTATTATATGATTCTACTATATTTTGTAAGAATAGAACATTATTCTTGACCCTGGCCTTCGGCACTAAGGACTGTTAATGCAGTGCTGTACATAACAAAATAGCTTTTTCTACATGAATTTCGGTCTGTGAGCATTACTGTCTCTTGGCTTTGTTTCCCAGTGGAAATTGTGGACTCGGTGGAAGCCTACGCRAACATGCTGCGGAACATCTTCGACTTCAGTGCGCTGAAGGAGCTGCTCTCAGGGAAGAACCACCTCAAGATTCGCATAGATGCCATGCACGGAGGTACGGGCTGACGGAGAGCCAGGGAGGGCGGCGGCCCCAGGGATTTGCCCTCTGCTCTTGAGAGGAGGCTTCGTCCTGGAGTTTATATCTGTCATTTGTGAATTTTGCCTTTTTGGAGCATTTCACATTTTTTTGAATGCTCATAAGCCATCTTATTGCCATCAGTGAAATTACCTTGTTGTAATTTATAGATTTGAGGCAATAGGAGAAAGATGAGAAATAAATTATTTGCTCTCTTAAGGSAATGCATAGGAAGCTGCAGAAGTCACCTGGGGTCAGAGCTGCCCAAGCTGCAGAATCAGCACCGTGTTTGCTAGATGGAATTGGTTGATGCAGTACTGACTGCCAACAGCTGTGGTGCTAAAGAAAGAAACTACCCTGAAATCAGGGACTGATAGACTTAGAAAAAAGGGATATTGTCAGTAATGGTCCATAGCAGTGTATCTGCTCAGAGCAAGACTGTGTTTTTGTCAGCACAGTTGAAAAATAGCTGCAAATGAGCTGTGTGTTGGTTTTTTTTTTTTTTTTTTTTTTGCAGGCTAACTTTGCATTGTTTTCTTTTGTCAAGTGCTCAGACTCGGGAATTGAACTAGCAAAGCCCCAGGTGGGGCTTGGTGAGATGCTGGGTGGCTCTCGCCTGCCTCTCCACTCTCCCTTTTAGTCAGGGACAGCAGAAATTAATGCCAAAACTGTGACCAGAGCTGCTCAGATAGGCTTTGCACCAGTTGGTGTCCCTTTGATTACATMTTTGATTATGAAAATGGGACTGTTAAACTGTTTTATGTAACGTAATGCATGTGAGAAGTTTGTGGGTCTCATACAACAGACATGTTGAGGAGCTTTTTCTTCATTTCAGTCTTTACCTTGGGTTTGTGCAGGTCATAGCACAGGGTTCTGATTCATGTGCTGAGCCCCTGTCATGAGCTCATCAGTGCAAGTAGCTTCACTTAGTGGGACAGCCCCAGTGTTTAGCAGCTCGAGGTGGTGAGAATYGAAAATGCAATTGTAAATTCTGCCCGGGGCTTTCGATGCAAGTGCTTTTATACAAAAAGAAATCTCATAAACCGATTGAAACCGAAGAGCCCTGAGTCCTGGGTGGTTACATGGCCCATGCAGAATGACTGAAGACAGAGGCTGACTTGTTTCCTTTCATGTTTTGCTGTGCTAGTTGTGGGCCCGTATGTAAAAAAGATCCTATGCGAAGAGCTTGGAGCCCCGGCAAACTCGGCTGTGAACTGCACGCCGCTCGAGGACTTCGGCGGCCACCATCCCGACCCCAACCTGACCTACGCTGCTGACCTGGTGCAGACCATGAAGACGGGAGAGTACGACTTCGGAGCTGCCTTTGACGGAGATGGGGTAAATGAGCTTTTCTCTAGCTGGGTTCTGGCTCTCCGCTCAGTGCTGGGGTAACAACTGCTCAGCTGCTTTGGGCAGAGAAGGATGGAGGTGAAGAGCAGCCTCCTTAAGCTGATAGGGCAGCTTCTAGTTGGGTGYGGACACCTTGGGCTTTGAGTTCAGTAGAAACAGGGTGGGTCTAACCAGAGAAAGCCCTAAACCTATSAGAGAAACCTTTATCAACATGGCACAGCTGCTGGAAATGAGGTTTGTCTCCATCTCTCCCTTCTGGAATTGAATCACTTGCTGCAGTTGCCACCACAGCAGCAACCAGGTCCTGTGTTAATAATGAAGTCCACACTATTTTTAACCAGCTTCTAACATGATGAAAAAATCAGGAGGAAGGAGAAAATACTACCAAGGTTTTACTGTTTAACTTCCCCAAAATTCCACACAGATTTCAATGCAGTCAAAAGTCCCTCTGAGCTGTTGGGTTATCAGCTGCACCTGTGAAGCAGAACAGCTTCAGCCACAGCCGCCCTTGTAGGCAAATCCGGCCAGCAGGTTATTTCTCTCTCGCCTTCACCAGGATCGGAACATGATTCTTGGGAAACACGGCTTCTTTGTGAACCCCTCCGACTCCGTCGCCGTCATCGCTGCCAACATTTTCAGCATCCCTTACTTCCAGCAGACGGGGGTGCGCGGCTTTGCGCGGAGCATGCCCACGAGCGGGGCGCTCGACAGGTAGGGTGCCGCGCCGCGGGGCGGGATGCAGGGACACCTCCTGCCGTGTCACTGYGTCCCCAGCCCGCAGGCTGCGCGCTCGGGGGGCACCCGCCGCAGCYGGGACACGCTGTGCGCTTTAGTGGGACGTGGCACGGCCAGGACCTGCTCTTGGCTCCTCCTGCTGTCTGCAGATAAGCCCCAAAACATCTTTTTTTTTAAAATCCACTTTCTTTTTTTTAAATCCAATAGTGACGTTGAACCTTTTTAAAGTGGTTTSAAGTCCATGACTGGAAATTGCTCTAGAGGAAATGCACATTTTCTTATGTTTTTTAAGCTGTACTGCCCAACCGTCTCCCCAGAGGTRACGCTGGGCTAAAATACAAGACGGCTGCACAAAGAGCTGCCATTTGTGGAAGCCAAGCAGCACATCCAGGAGCGGCGCTCGGCGGCCACGCAGCTGCCAGCGCAGCTGTGTCTCGCGCGGAGTTGTCGGAGCCTCCCGGGACCTGACCTGGGCTTCTCCCCTCTGCAGGGTGGCCCATGCTACCAAGATCGCTCTGTACGAAACTCCCACTGGCTGGAAGTTCTTTGGGAACTTGATGGATGCAAACAAACTGTCCCTGTGTGGGGAGGAGAGTTTTGGTACTGGTAAGTCAGCGTTCCTCATTTTCACTCGTGGCAGTATTATTCCTCCTCTTAATTCCTGATTGTGCTCAGCAACTTGGGACTAATCTTGCATGTCTAGTTTTTAATACATTCTGAAACATAAAATAACAAAATTTGCAAGAAGCGTGGGTGGAAACATACACAATTCTCCAAGTTTTGTCAGGGAAAAGCCAGTTCTCCTTTCCACTCTTCAGGAAGGCATATGCAGGAAGTCTAAGGGCCTCTTTACTAGCCCGGTCATTGAGTCCATGGGGATTAAGTGCAGTGTTAAATGTATTTTTCAACTCTTGGTGGCCAGGAAAACCTTCTAAATGTTTTCATTTCTGAAAAGAAATATGGTTTGGAGCATGCAGTTTTATTAGGGGAGGTTTCAGGTCACTATTAAATCTCTGAGCTTAATAGGGCCCTCATTTTCCTGTTCTAAAAACAAGGTATGATTTATAAAGTTTAAATTAACACTTGCCTTTGAACAGTCTAAGCGAGTTATTAGGTTACTGAGAAACAAAGTGAACATCTTAAGGCATTTACTGGGGTGCACGTGACASTGCCGTGATTTGTGTGGGGAAGCCAAAGGGAGCAGGACTCGCTCCGTATCAGAAGGGCCCCTCGAACGCCCGCTGTTTCCGGGTGCTTGCAGCAGGCCCGTTCTCAGGACAGCACTTAATGCACAAGCCGAATTTTATCTGGTCTGAATCTCCCTGGGATCTTGTTTTTCCTGTTGACTAAAGACCTCTGAAGGCCCCAGGACAGGCAAAGCTCAAGTATCTCCTTTCCAACACTAGGTATCGCAGCCTGGTGTTTCACTGAGCTAAGGTGACCCTAAATCCTGAAATGCAGGACCCGAGCCCAGCCTTTTGTTGCAGAGGAACTCGCATGCCAGCCTTTATCTGGGCTGAAGGGGTCCCGGGGGCAGCACTTGTGCAATCAGATGCTCTCCTGACCAACAAGGCCAGGCCTGCAGTGGGAGGAAAGGMGCATTTGGGAAAATGCAGCACCTGTAAAGAAAGAACATCTTTAKCCTGGCTGCTGCTGGGAGATGGTCTCTAAGGAGCCATGTGCTCACGTTGCTTCTGTCTTACAGCACGTGAGGAGCGAGCTCAGGGGTTCTGTCGAGCCCACGATAAGTACCTGGCTCTATAGCGCAAGTAAAACTGCCTGGTACCATTTGTGATAGAGGCTGAGAGAGAATTTGGTGATTTTGGCCCATAGTTGCAGGCGTTGGGGTGATGGGCCAGGAAAGGCGCCTGCTCAGCTCCCCCAGCACTTGTGGAGCGGGGAGCTCATGGCAAATAAACWCCCTTTAAAGAAGGGGAAGGGAGAGGAAGAGGAAGGTTGCTCGATAGTAAGTTAATGAGGACTTGCTTGGAGCCTGACAGGCTCCAAACTCCTGACGGGGGGAGAGGTGAAGGAGCAGCCACGGAGACCCCGCAAAAATTGAAACAGACTGTGACCCAGTGGGATGGGAGTCCCGGAGCAATTAGAGTAATGGGACCTGACAGCGCTGCCGCTCGCGGCCCTGCCGCTCGCATTCCTGCAAGAAGCTGATACATCACATGGGACTCCTGTTTATTTAGCATTCCTCTCCCTCACCTCGGCACCGCTCGCAAGGACTGGGAGGAGAATGTCCCGCCGTGCCCCGAGCAGCAGGAGTTGGGTATAACCCCATCTTACCCCAGCAGTTCCCCCGCGCGCCAGGGGGGTGACTGGCCGCCCCGCAGCGCTGCGGCACCGCCAGAGGTGCCCGGCTGCAAAAACCTTCCTTGGGACTTTATAGAACCTGCTTGGAGGCTTTTCCCAGAGGCTGGGCACAAGCTTGTTTTCCAGAAGGCTCCAATGYGGCACATTGGAGAGGCGCAGTGCARCCTGGCGAGCCAGAAACGTGGGGCCGCCTCRGGCGTCGTCTGGGCTGCCATCCGATCCCGGGCTTTATTTAGACCCTCGGGGTGCCCGTCTAAGTTTCAGCAACCCCTCTGGAGGTGTCGTGGGGCTCCTGCTGGGCCTTGGCAGCACCGGCCTCCGAGTACCAGGGCTGGCTGTCCGTAGGCCTCCCACCCTCCATGCAGTGTTGCCGCCAGTGGAAACCGTCTCCCAGCTGGAGCAGGGGCATTTGCAGCCTTTTTGTGCCACCTGCCCCTCTGCCCACATGCTACTACAGAGCTGCCCTTCAGAGTGTGAACTGAGGCCTCTCCTTGAGCCGCAGGTAGTGGTAGCCCTTCACAGGGGGACATATCCGTGGTTTGGGGGTCCATGGCAAGGGTGCCGCTTCCCGTGGTGCTCGGCCAGAGCACGCGCTGCGCGAGGGCGTTGCTTTGGCAGCCACAGCCACTTGGGGATGTAGGTTTGCCCTCCCCAAGCTCTTCTTTGGCCTTTTCTTCTTAATGTCCCTCTTACTGTGCATTCCCCATAAGTACTTTGGGAATTAAATCAAGGAACTGTGGCTAGTGAGCACACCTCTGTGGTGGMAGGGGTTGAGTGTTTAATTTGGGCTAAGCCTAAAAGCAAATGAGATCCTGATCCGCTTCAACRCTGCGAGTTTGGGCGGCTGCTGGCCCGAGTGGGGAGAGGAGACCCGKCAGAGCYGCAGCACGGCTCYKGTGCGGAAGGAGGTGCCAACCGCGYTCCCGCTTGGGTGTCCGCAGGCTCCGACCACATCCGCGAGAAGGACGGGCTGTGGGCCGTGCTCGCCTGGCTCTCCATCCTGGCCGCCCGCAAGCAGAGCGTGGAGGACATCATGAAGGATCACTGGCAGAAGTACGGCAGGAACTTCTTCACCAGGTGAGGCGGCAGCCCTGCCCGCGYGGGCTGGTTCTGCGGTACCCCAGCACGAAGTCCTGCCCCAGCCGCGGGTACCGTGTGTGCGCTGCGCGGGACCGGGCAAACCAGCGGCGYTGACCTGGACCTGCCGGTACCTGGTGTTCTGAACACCTTACGTGTCCGGCTCTCCAAAGGGTTTACACCTCACATTGTACGGATACGAAATATTTTATATATTTTTGCCCTTTTAATAGAGGTCAAGTTCTCTTGCCATTGAACAGTATGTTTCCTGAGACCACAAATTACAAGCTGATTTGTACCATCTTCAGCAGTGGCCTCACGGAATGGTTGCCACCCCCAAGCCATGSTATTGCTGGCTGAGTTTCTGTGCAGGCCCCAGATACTCTCATAAGGGCAGTAGATGTGGAAGGCAGGAAGGAAAGGGGAGGGAAGTAACCTGTGCAAAGCAGCAGTAGGAACACTGGGCTGAGTAAAGGTGTTGGCAGAAGTCTATCAACTTGGAAAACCAACATGACAATTTGGGCTCAAATCGTCAAGTGAAAGAACTTGCCATTTCCTACTTTTTCCCCCCCAATGCACAAAGCAAGCGGACATCTAAAAGGTTCAAAAAGTGGAAAAGCCACCAGCCTGCGGAATGAACAGGCAGGGTCTCTTAGCACCCAAGGCTGCTGCGTAGCCACCTGCAAGCAGAGGCAGGTCACAAGCCCGGGCCTGCTCCACCAGCCGCCTGGGCACGTCAAAGCAGCGCAAATGGCAGCAGCGATGGGAGCCCGAGCCTGGGATCCCCAGGAGCTTCAGCGCCTGCTGAGCTGCCCGTCTGAGCTGCCTTCAGCAGATCAGAGCTGGCACCAGCGTGTTAGCACACGCGGCGCTCGCACCTTTGTTTGCTGTGGGGACGCACAAGGAAGCGGAGGCAGAACTGCTGTCGTGAGGAACCTGTCGAGATGCCTATCGGCAAAACTGGAGTTAGCTCTTTGCAGTCAGCGTCGCTGCGATATATCTAGCACAAGGCAGCACAATTGTAGCTTTCATCTCTGCTCCTGCTGAACGCCTCAGCGTATCGCACACGTCGGCGCTGGGTCGTTGCCACAGATCTCCTCTCCTTTGCTCCCGTCCTCCCCTTCAGTAGAGTGCCAAAAAACGTAGATGGGGCTGACAACAGTGTTCCAACGTGAGTGTGACAAAGCCTTGCTATTAATGTGCAGCCTGCCCTTCCTCATGCTAATTTTGTGGTGCTTGGCTATAGATATGACTATGAAGAGGTGGATGCAGATGCAGCTGGTAAAATGATGAAGGATTTGGAGACCGTGATGTTTGACCGCTCCTTCGTGGGGAAGCAGTTATCGAGCGGCGACAAAGTCTACACGGTTGAGAAAGCTGATAATTTTGAGTACCATGACCCTGTTGATGGAAGCGTCTCCAAAAACCAGGTGGGAAAAGCTGCCTTTGAAGCACTCGTGTTTTAAGGGCTATGGGTGTCTCGCCTGCTCTCCAGCTGCTGTCCCACAGCTGTGCAAGCCTCCAAGCGCCATGCTGTGTTGGGAAGCCAGTTGGAGGTGGCTCCCAGTGTCTCATTGCACCACCATGGAAATACCTGGGTGCTGCAGGGCCACATAGCTGACCAGGCTCTTCTCCTGCCACCTTCTCTCTTCCAGGGCTTGCGGCTCATCTTCTCTGACGGCTCCCGCATCATCTTCAGGCTCAGTGGCACCGGCAGCGCTGGAGCAACCGTGCGCCTCTACATAGACAGCTATGAGAAGGATGCACAGAAGATACATCAAGACCCCCAGGTAATGCTGGCGCTTGCCTTGTGGCACCGCTTCCCCCCCGTCCTTCCTGAAAAGCTTTAGTCCTTAGTGCTGCTTTGCTTGGGGTCGGCGCTCAGAGCGATGCTGAGGGTCGCGGGCCGAGACACCCGCGAGCCGCTCAGGAGGTGACGTGCGCGGGTGACACAGGCTGTTCTGCTCCGGACACTGAGGCGCCTTTTTCCTTTCCGCAGGTCATGTTGGCACCTCTCATTTCTATCGCGTTGAAACTGTCACAACTTCATGAAAGAACCGGCCGCACGGGCCCCACGGTCATTACGTAGGCCTGGTCCCGAGCCCGTGGCGCGGCCCGCGYGCCCGCACCGAGGGAGCCCGCCCGGCCCCAGTTGTTGTCCCATCTGCCACTACCAAGGAACGCTAATTTCATGTCAGTAATTAAAACACCATGACCCACTAAGGACAGGCAGCAGAGCAGAGCCCCTGTCAGCACTTGGTGTGCGCGTCGCTGCGCCGCTTTGCTGCYTCACCCAGCACTGATGGCCCTTGGTGCGTGCGCCCCGTTAGCACAGCCTCTTGCCTTAGCACACGGTCCTGGGTTTTGGTTTTCTTCTTTTTCTTTCGTTTTGTTTCCTTGTTTTGTTTTGCTTGAACAAAAGGCACTGGAAATAACAAGGCAACTAAATTATTTTTCCCTATGTTTTGGAAGATCTACTGGAAAACCAGCACTTTGTCCTTGCTAATATATAGGGGTTTTTTTGTTGTTGTTTTGATTTGATCTCGATAAATATGCCAACGCTGTGTATGATGGCTAAGTATTTTTCCCTCACACGGATGTTTTTCCCCTCCAAAAACAAGTTATGTAAATTGATCCCTTTGCTCTGTTTTCCGTAGAGGAAACCCCACGAAACCCTTCGCACAGAAGCGAGTAATGAGAGTTACAGGATATTAAAGTGTTCTGGGTTGCGCTCACTGTTCAACAGTCTTTCCTTTCCTTGCCTCGTGCTCAGCTCCTTTCTGCAGCATCGACGTTAAGTTGGGATGAGCCACGGAGGGCACGATGAGAGCCTTGCCCTAATCAGCTTTGAAGGTGTTAATGTGCACGGTCTAGGCCAAGGGCAAATTTGGCCCCCGGGTTCATTAGCTCAACCTCTCCATGCAGGGGTCTGTCCAAGGGGGTGATGGATGATGGGTGCATCCATGTGGGAGCCGAGGGCTCTGCTGGGCTTTGATCTTCTCGCTCGCAGAGGCTGTGGCAGCCGGAGCAGGGAATTGGGGGTACATCGTGCAGTGTCAGCCCCATGTGCTTGGCACCACGTCCATTGGGGGTACATCGTGCAGTGTCAGCCCCATGTGCTTGGCACCACGTCCAGGCAAAGGTGCCCTACGCCACCCACGGTGGCGTAGGGCACCTTTGCCTAGACGTGGTGCCAAAGGCGAAAGGCCCCTCTGCGAGGCCTGACACAGCCCCCTGTGCCTTGCTGYATTTTGGCCCCTCCAGCCTTTCCTCCAATTAATTTTCCCTGATTACCTCCCCAGAGCACTGGGGAAGCCGGGGCAGAGGTACTATTTCAGGCTGAGCATCGTGGTGCTGCTCCGAGCACAGCGGGTTGGGAAGCCTCCCTGGCTGAATCCCTCTATCAGGGCTGGATCCTTGGGGCTCCCCTTGCTACCAAGCAGGATGGCTGGGATTAGTGGGGCCAACACCCTTGGCTGCCTTAACTTGCTCTGTGTGGGCAAGTGACCCCTGGTCTGTGGTTGACTTCTCAAAGCAGGTCAGCCCCAAGTCCTCCTGATGAAACCATCACGTCTTGCCCATGCAAACCATTTCCCTGGTGACTAATGGCTTGCACTGGCGCAGTGAAGGTGCAAAGCTTCTTCTGCAGCCCCTCCCAGGTGGTTTCTTCAGCTCCTGCTCTCTTCCAGCTCCACGCCAGACACAGCAGCTCCACGTCTTTCTTTGCACTTCACTCCTACTTTCTTTTGGTAAAACCAAACTGYAGCTGGAGACTTGCAGGGAAGGGGAGCATCTGGGTGAGAAGGGGCCAGAGCACCCATATCTCCGCTCATCCCGCTGCCACCGTGCTCCGAGCACGGAGAAATGGAGAAGTGGGTGGATGTTACAGGTACCTCGCGGAGCTCCAAGCAAGGGAGCTTTCTGCKCTGAGCTACTCAATTATTCATGATTTTCTCCAGAAATTCATCTTTACCCCTGGGCCGTATCCTAGTGAAGTCCTYCCAAGCTGATGGCTCCGTGCGCAGCAGCAGGAATGTGCAGGCAGCCCGGACGGGGCGCAAGGGGCCGTGTTTGCCAAAGAGCCGGTCACGGAGGTGTCTGCCAAGACCCAGCTCCTTTGAGCAAATGGGTGTTTGCATGAAAAATTGCTCCTTCTTCCTCTTGYTCCTTCCTCGCGTCTCTGCAGGCTGAAGCCGTAGGCTCCTGTCCCGAAGGAGCCCAATGAGATCCAGATGTCCTGTGATTCACGTGCACTTCAGGCTTCACCCTCCATACACGTAACGCGAGAGCTCATTCGAGAGCTCATTTCTGTGTGCGGAAGGAAAGAAAGGACATCCCAAGTCTCACCAACAAAAGAAGCCACGTGGAAACACAAGGAGCAGGGATTCGCGCCGGCACCGGCCGCCTCCTGCTCCTGCCCCCCGGCTGCTTCARCGGCCAGGAGCCGGACTCGGGGCCAGGCGCCTTCCCAGCGCACTGGGCACCCAGCGGCTCCGGTCCCGGCAGGGAGGCACACGCCAGTCTATATGGGCTGTAATGCAGACACTACGGTCTATATGGCAGCAACACCCCAAGCTCTGGCSAGGCTACAGGAAACCCATGAATAACAGAGCAGTGGAAAACGCAGGAAGCTTAGRTAACTTGAGGGCAGAAGTCCTGCTACAGGGTGGCAGCATTCAGCATTTGATTTAACCAGCTATCCAGACTTACTTTGGCATTCTGTTTTTCAGAGTTCACACCAAAAAAAATGTTGGTTTTGGGGAGTCCTCTGCTGAGGGGCAATGACTGCGTGAGCTCAGCCCGTAGACATCAGAATCCACCCTGGTGGCCTGCAAGTGGCTGGCAAGCCACGGTCAGCAGCCACCCTGGGCATCTGCCAAGGGATCTGCTGGAAAAGCTTCACTATTATTATTACTATTTACTATTTTCCTATTTATGTACTATTTTCCTGAGGAGAAAGCTGCACGTGGCCTCGGGAGCCGAGCCCCTGTGGGAGGGTGGAAACACAGTTCTCCACTGATAGCATTTATRGAGGTGTTTTATTTTCCTGCTTTCACCAAAAACAAAGATGCAAACAAAATCCTGGTTATTGTAAATGCCTTGTAAAGAGCAGCTGGGCTGCTGTGGAAGCCCGGGGAACGCCTGAGCGCGGCCGAGCCGAGCGTTGAAGAGAGAAGGCACAGGAAGCGCCTCGGCTCACACACGGGTAACGCGCTCTTGATTTCTTTCTGTCACTACCGAGTGGCTTGATGGGGACCAGTGTATTCCCACTGGCTACTTGATGGGAATTGGAGGAGAAGACAACGASATGGGTAGCAGCTAAAGCGTATGGGAAGGTGTGAGCTCTTAACAAGTGATTTATTTTGCTGCAGGATTTTCACTGGGATGTGCGTAGGATTCCAAGCCAAGCAAGGTCCTTTAAATCTAGGCTGATAAAGCAGTAAGCAACTGTATCATACAGGTATTATACAGGAAGAGTGGGGTTAGGGGGTGGACCCAAAGTCTACAGAGACAGCAGAAACATTTAGCATCTCTCMTTTTTATATACTTAAAACTCTGTTCATTTTCATTGTGATTTACTCCATAGAAACTATTAAAAATGCAAGGGATGTTTTAATCGACATCTTTTAKCATAAATACCCTAGAAACATAACTCAGCTATTTAGCGTACAGCTGTGTCCCAGAGCCCCCTTGCTTCTGTTCCACATACAGGCCAGTGTGGGAGTCCTGAAGCTAAACACGTGGAGAAGCCGGAGGTTAAGCTGGGGCCAGCACTGCAGGCTGCAGGGAGCCGCGTGCTCCGCAGCCCCGTCGCTGTGGCCGCTCTCCACCGGCAACCCAAAAGGCTGGTGGCCCAGAGAGCACAACGCAGGCACTAATCTGTGCTCTTTCAAGCCAGTGTAACTTGGGTTTATTCCTCTGGCGCTGGAAAGCCCCTCCAAAACAGAGGCCAACTGTTACAGGAGGCAAAGCCAACTTCACCTCTCGCCGGCTGACAAATGGCCACGCAAGTCACCAAATAACCCAAGACCTCAGTGCTGAACTTCTCCAATTTTTTGCACATGATGCAACTCTAAATCTCCCTTTTGAGCGGTATTAAATTTCCTTTCATTCCCATAAACTTCAGAAAAAGTTGCCTGCTCTCACATTTCAGACTGTGACCCAGCTAACTTGCACTTTTCCCCTCTGYTCGTCTGGAGAACTGAATAATGAAATTCAGACAGCAGTGACCAAATGCTGCGGTGCAGGACTCGCCTTTGACAAAACAGGCGAATGCTCCTGGGCTCCAACACTGCGGGGAACAAAACTTGCAAACCTTATGGAAATAAAAGAGTAAGCCCAGGCAGCGACTTCACCGCCTTTATCAGATCAGAGCCATTTTCACTGGCATTGAAATGGCTTTTAGAAAAATTATAAATAGAGAAGAATGTAAAAAATCCCACTGAAGCCATTATTGGGAAAAAAAAAACACAATCACGTGAGTGGAAGCTAAATTTCATAGACCTACAGAGACGAAAAGCTTCATCATCCTCCCCGCCTGCAGCCCTGCTGCTGCAGAGGTTGCACTCGTGCTTGTGCAAGAGCCAGGGAAGCAACTGCTTGAACTTCTGTGCTGGTGACAAYGGTGCCGATCGGCCCGTGCGCCGTCGGACAAGGGGCTGCACAAGGTCCCGCAGCTCTGCTGGGCTGCACGTCGGCTGCGGCGGGATCTGGGATTTGTTCCTGAAGGTGCTGAGCGCTCCCAGCCCGCACGGGAAGCCCCACGAGTTGAGGCCCCTGTTTATGCAACCAGCAATACCCGCTGTGCCGCAGCCCTGCTGCCGGTGTGAGGGGACCTGCATTCACTTAAGCCCCCTGCAAATTTAGCCACTTGAGTCAAAATAAAAGGAGCCAAAATATATAAATCCCGCAGACGCACTTTATGGGGGAACTAAACCAAACATTCAACATCAAGATTAAGTGCAGCCAAATMGTTCTAACTAGCCGGGGTCCCTTACATCATGTTGTGTCCTAGGGGCACAGTCTCCATTTTAGTGGCCTGCTAAACTCACGCTGCTATCAATAAAAGTTTTACATGCAGCATGAGTGGAAAATACGAGATGTTAGGTAGTAGGCTGCAAGTCTATAAACCTGATACCTAAAAGCTGCTATCGTGGTCTCGACAGCCCCCCGCTAACTTCCATGCAAATTCCACCGATGGATCTTTGGTTCGGTTTGTGTAATTGCAAGTCTTAAAGGTGAACTGAAATGTTGCGGGAATAAAAACCTGTTTAAGATGCCAAATCCCTAACAAATTCCCTGCACAGGCTTACAATACATTGAAGGCAAGTGTACAGGCCACCTTATTAACCTGTCAGGCCGCAAAAGCTGCAATCTCTGTTTCGCCTGCAAAATTTGTGACCTTCTTCTCCCTCYAATGACTGAAGTGCTTTGTGGCTCTCCACTCCTGGCAACAAAGATGATACTGAGAAGGTGGTGAAACCTCCTCTATTTGTGCTGATGCTGCAGGACCCCTTAGCAATTAATGTGTGCACAGAGGTGGGAGGAGCGGAGCAGATGCCAGGATTCGTTCCCAGCAGGACTGATCCAGGTTGATCTGGGACTACCTGCGAAGTCGCCCRACTCGTTGTGAAGTCATGAGCTAAGATAGCT